ATCAAATCCCTCACAGAGAAAAATAAAGAGACCGAGCATCAGATTATCATCCAAAGGGAAGGTGGGAATGTTACATTGGAAGGAAATGCCTCTGTACCTGAAACATTTGCAGACATACTGAAAAAGAGTTGTACACATCAAATTACATCAAAAGCAGTTGTACACATCAAATTACAGGAAGGATCCAACAGGCAAGAATGGAATAGCAAGGATTGAGAGGCAGTACATGGGCTACTGAAGGGGTTACAGATGGAAGGGGCTGAACAAAACATTGAGAAGGTTTTCAGGTTGGGCTGGTACAACAAGGACAGAAACCGACTTGTAAAAGTGGTGTTTACAAACGAAACCACGAAGGAGGATATTCTCGAAAGGAAGAGTCATCTGCAGCATGTGGAGGGATACAAAAAAGTATTCCTGCAGAGGGACAGGACGAAGGAGGAGAGAGCCAGGGCAGCAGAGGCAAGGAAGAAGCACAGGGAGAGAGGAGCAAACCAGGAAATCACAGCCCCCAACACAACAGTCCTAGAGACAAGAGGGGAACCCAAGACCAGCATCCCAGCAACACCAGACGGGGGGGGGGGGCAACACCACCTCCCCCTCGGCATAGAAACCCTCCCTTCCCCTCACCCTACCTGCCCCCACCCAACCCTCCCTCCCCCCACCCCATTCTGACCCTGTCACTCCTTCCCCATTCCCATCATGTCCCCCCTCCCACCTTTCCCCCCTGGCTCCCCCTCCCCCTTCATCCCATACCCACCCTATTCCACCTCCCCCCCCTCACCCCGTATCCTCCATGTCCCCCCTATCTCCTTAACCCACACCCTACCTGTCCCCCCTTCCCTTTAACCCCCACCCCAAAATCCTCTGAGACCCTGAGGCAGCTAACGTAGTCCCGATATACAAGAAAGGGGATAGACAGGAGGCACTGAATTACAAGGCCAGTGTCCCTGACATGCATACCATGCAAGCTGATGGAGAAGATTGTGCGAAGAAAGCTAGTGGAGCACCTGGAGCGAAAGAACTTTGTAACACAGCATCAACATGGATTCAGGGATGGCAGGTCCTGCCTCACAGGGTTACTTGAATTCTACGACCAGGCAACAAAAATAAGGCAAGAGAAGGGTGGGCAGACTGCATATTTTTGGATTGTCAGAAAGCCTTTGATACAGTGCCACACAAGAGGCTAGTGAAAAAGCTGGAAATGCAGGCTGGAGTGAAAGGGAAGGTACTCCGTTGGATACAGGAGTACCTAAGCAACAGGAGACAACGAGTCAGTGTGAGGGGTGAGGTCTCAGATTGGCGAGACTTTACGAGTGGAGTCCCTCAGGGGTCAGTCCTTGGACCTATACTGTTTCTTATATATGTAAATGATCTCCCAGAGTGTATAGAATCAAGAATCGTTTCTCTCAATGTTTGCCGATGATGCAAAAATTATGAGGAGGATTGAAACTGAGGACGATAGTAGGAGGCTACAAGATGACCTAGACAGACTGAGTGAATGGTCCAACAAATGGCTGTTGAAGTTCAACCCGAGTAAATGCAAAGTAATGAAACTAGGCAGTGGAAATAGGAGGCCAGACACAGGATACTTAATAGGAGATGAAGTACTTAATGAAACGGACAGAGAGAAAGATCTAGGAGTTGATATCACACCAAACCTGTCTCCTGAAGCCCACATAAAAAGAATAACGTCTGCGGCATATGTGAGGCTGGCTAACATCAGAACAGCGTTCAGGAACCTGTGTAAGGAATCATTCAGAATCTTGTACACCACATATGTAAGACCAATCCTGGAGTATGCGGCCCCAGCATGGAGCCCGTACCTTGTCAAGCACAAGACGAACCTGGAAAAAGTACAAAGGTATGCCACTAGACTAGTCCGAGAACTAAGTGGCATGAGTTACGAGGAAAGGCTGCAGGAAACGCACCTTACGACACTGGAAGACAGAAGAGTAAGGGGAGACATGATCACAACCTACAAAATCCTCAGAGGAATCGACCAGGTAAACAAGGATAAACTATTCAACACTGGTGGGACGCGAACAAGGGGACACAGGTGAAAACTGAGTACCCACATGAGCCACAGAGACGTTAGAAGGAACTTTTTCAGTGTCAGAGTAGTTAACAGATGGAATGCATTAGGCAGTGATGTGGTGGAGGCTGACTCCATACACAGTTTCAAATGTAGATATGATAGAGCCTAGTAGGCTCAGGAATCTGTACACCAGTTGATTGACAGTTGAGAGGCGGGACCAAAGAGCCAAATCTCAACCCCCGCAAGCACAAATAGGTGAGTACAAATAGGTGAGTACAGAAATGGCTACTGAAGTTCAACATGAGTAAATGTTAAGTTATAGAAATGGGATTAAGTGACAGGAAAGCAAAGGGACATTACACAATGGAGGAAAACTACCTCTCCTTGACGATAGGACATCGTCATGGATATCTCTTTCGAGAAAGAGACCTGGGAGTGGACATAATACCTAATGTACCTCCTGAGGCACATATAAATAGGATACCGACCGCAGCGTACTCTACACTGGCAAAGGTTAGGACATCATTCAGAAACCTAAGTAAGGAGGCATTTGTGGCGCTTTACACTGATTACTTGAGACCGGTCTTGGAATATGCCACCCCATCATGGAGTCCCCACCTGAAGAAACACATAAGGAAACTGGAAAAGGTTCAGATGTTTGTGACGAGACTCGTCCCAGTGTTACGAGTGATGGGGTATGAGGAGTGCCTGAACGAACCGAACCTTACAACACTAGATAAAGAAGGGGGAGGGAGGATATGATGGAAACATAAAATACTCAGAGGGATTGTTGGTAGAGTGGACAAACGACGAAATGTTCACATGGAATACTAAGAGAACGAGGTGACGTGAGTGGAAGCTGGAAACTTAGATGAGTCACAGAGATGTTAGGAAGTTTTCTTTTAGCGTGAGAGTAGTGGAAAAATGGAATGAACTTAAGGAGCAGGTTGTGGAAGCAAACTCTATTCATTATTTTAAAACTAGATATGATAGGGAAATAGGACCGGAATCATTGCTGTAAATAACCGATGGCTCGAAAAGTGGGATCCAAGAGTAAATGCTCGATCCCGCAGGCACAAATAGGTGAGGACACGCATATTGGTCACTGCCAGCACTCACCTCCAAGAAGGTAGTAGAAATATCACGAAATGAGAACAAATAACGTTAGGAACATTTTCTGAAGTATGCTATTAATGTTTTCATTTCAGGTTTTACTTGAAAAAGATCAGGATATCATTGAGGGACATTTGACACTTGTAAATCGTGGTGGCTGGTTCCAGGAGGATGTAACAAGCTTTAATCTCACCCTAACAACACCATTCAGTCAGCTGCAAAATTTTTCATTATTGCTGGAAAAGCATAGCGACACTACGATGGCTAACTTTGCTGAAATTAAATTAGATGATTTTAAGGTAACATAAGTATTTTTAGTTGTTTGTTTATATTACAAGTCTATATATAAAATTTTAGTCACATGTTGTCTGAGAAAACTGGTAACAATATTGCTTGATTTCATTCGTCTAATTATTCAGTAGTTTGGTGGGCTGAAGCTTTCATTTCATTCAAAAAAGTAAAAACCAGCATTGAATATAAGAACTCTCCAGTTCCTGGGTGAGCCCCAGAGGCTTCCTGAACATACTACACACTGATCAGTGCCATTACTATCAGGTGCTATCAGTTGTGAAGTTTTATTGGCCTACCGCGGACCACAAGCCAGAACCTAACCCCCCCCCCCCCCACTCCCCTCCAAGAGGCGCAGGGAGTAATGTCATATGAACACTTTGCTTTTAAAGTTATTCATGCTTGCCACCAATAGAGAAAGATACCCAGAAAGATAGCCCGTTGTTGTTGTGAGGGCTTGGTGAAGGGGCTGTGGAAGTGTGATGCTCCATGGCACAGTGTCCTGTGACCTTTTGAAGCCTTACCATCCTGCTGCTGTCTTCACTAATTTTGCTGACTGCTTTTTCCTCTTCCTCGTGGTTTTTTTTCCTCCCCACCTTTTCTCCATTCTGATTGTTCCTTCCTGCAGACTTTTTGCCATTCTTTGAATATTCTTCCCGATGTCTTCTTCTGTTTTGACGCCGGGTGTTTGGGGAGATACACTTTCTCACCCGTAGATCTGTGGCACCTGACGTTGTTGAGCGATGGGACGCTTTTATTGTCAAATTTTTCCTTTGTTCTAATCCCGATCTCGATGTACTAACGGTTCTCAAGGTGGCGATTGCAGGGTGTATGTCCACGATGCATCCCTGGGATGGCCCCTTCTTCCAGGGAGTCTTATTCTCTAACTGTTGCTCCATGGTGGGTATGGGGGCTTATTCGTGAATGAAATTATATTTATGTTGGTTTTTATGCCGATTTCTGACCCCTCGTTTAACTTCTCAGACTCGTGGAGTAGGCGACCAGGCCCCGAGTCGGAATGTGCTGGAAGGTCGGGCTCTGTATCCCCTGCTACATTCATCCTAGACCAAGCTGCTTCTCTGACTCTCCCGACTGACTCTCTCTGCTCCTCTCCCACCTCCGTGGTAGGGTTGAGCCCAGAGCCCCCAGTGTTAACCCACCTCATCACCTGGCGTGGCTCTATCTCTCGTTGTGATAACTGTACCTTTTACTCCCACTTCTTACAAAGACACCTCCGCACTCGCATGATTCCTTCCTAATCTACTATATTCCCAGATTTGTTTGATCCTGCTAAGTGGGCTAAGTATTTTGATCTCAGTCATGGTGATTCTATGCGTTTTGATGGTTTATTCATCCATAAACACCTAAGTGATTCGTGTCACTTTTAACCCCACCCATACTGGTACACGTGTCGTTGCAGCCCCTTTTCAGGAAGCAGCCGACCGCTTGGTTTCGTTGTATTGCTTTGCTGAGACCCTTGTTTGGATCTCCAAAAATGCGCAGTTAAATGCCAGCACTGGCACAGTTCTCCTTCACCATGTTGCAACTGATGACAGGGAACTGAAAGACTGCCAAGAGGATATTAAATATATCCTTTGAGGCCCAAAGCCATTCTATCCTCAAGCTTCATACGTTCACTCGACTCCCTCGGGGTCGTCGTCGTCAGCCTCTCCACGCAGTTAAAATCACTTTTTATAGTTTCTCCCGACTATCTTCCGTAATATTTACAGGGGCCAGATGTTCCGTTCTAGAGTGCATCCCCTCTCCTCGCCCTGCAATAGGTGCTGGAGATTTGGTCATGGTCACTTCAAGTGCACAAATGGTGTCTCTGTGCCCCTTGTGTGAAACCTCGGATCATTCTGAGAGGGAATGCTCTTCTTTCCAAGCCCACCGCATCAATTCTGGTGACCGCCACCCTGCCTTCTCCCGCGCATGTGTGTACTACAAATTTGAACAAGCCATCCTCAATTTGAAACATCGTGATCGTTTATCTTTTCTCGAGGTGAGATGCCAAGTTTGCCATCCTCCCTCAAGTCTTATGCTCGTGTGTCGCGTTCACTTCTCCTCTCCCTCTCCCACTTTCTCAGTTCCGCAACTGTTTTCAGACCTTGGATCACGACACTTTCACCACCTTCCCACCTTCTTTTCCTTTGGGTTCTAGGCCCAAGGGTCTTCTTCCTAGTTCTCCCCCTAATGTTTCCTTGCTTCTTTCCTTCCTTCCCACCTTTCCCTATCTCCTGTGCCCTCTTTTCCTTCTCGCCCCAATCCTTCTTCTCAGCCCTCCCTTCTGTCTTTTGGCCCTTTACACCACCTATCCATCCACGCCGTTGTCCTTCCTTCTCCTGGCAATCTCGTGTTGACTGTTGCCGTTCTCTCTCTCCTATTAAGGCGATGCAGCACCCAGCACAGGACCCTACAAGTCCTCACCCGAGCGATTGCAAGAGAGGCGAATAGAAGCCCCAAAAATACCAGAACAGCCTCTGAATTAATCCTGCCCAATGGGAAAAACAGAAGGGCAAATACCAGACTCCCATTCAACTGCTTGAGTAACTGCCGAGCGACCCAGCAACATTAGCAGACAGTTGCGGTGCAGCTGGAGCAAGGATGCAGTAGTTAGGGAAGGCGACGCTGCCCAAAAATCCCAAGTAGTTAGACCCAACCAGGTCCAAACCATGGATGGAACAAACCAGGACTTCTACCAGGACTCCAGGAACCCAAACCAGGTAAACTGGGAAAAAACAGAATCCCGACTAACGGACAAACAGAGTGGCTGGGATCCCACACTAGCCGGTTGTCGAAGTGGGCCAACAAACCAAAACAAACACTGAACAAACCAAAAAGAGTGAGAGCTATAATTTGAAGAAAAAGCTGAAAACTTTAGGTGCCGTGAGCAGCTCATACGAGAAACCCAAAAGCAGAAATTCTATCGCCTCACAGCAAAACCAAACCAATCCCCGAACCCCGGTAGGAGTTCTATAGAAACATCCAAGTATCTGGCATGAGAGAGAACGAACCCCGGACAATGGGTAAAAAACGAAACAGGGGCAAGGAACGAACCGGTGCAAACGGGAAGGAAAAAACCGTGATCCGAAAAGCCTGAATCGGGAATAGAACCAGGAGGAAGCCCACCAAATAGGGAGGAAAGATCGACTCTGCACGTGCACTAAGTCAACTCGAGGAAAGCAAGGCTAAAATAAAAGTAAACACTAAATCCTAAGCCTTCAAGACCAAATCGCTGACAGCGAGCAACCAGGAAGAAACTTCAGCATACCTGTGTATTAATGGAATAATGGTAGCGCAACACCCAGTGCGCCCCACCATCCGAAAACACTCCCAAACTCAAGGAAGACAGACGTCCACAAGCCACTGGCTTACCTTAAGGGCGAGAACAACCCCTAGCGAGGAAGCCCCTAATGGAAGCGTATTACAAACGCCTCGGGGAAGTCAACCCTGACCACACAAGGGTAGTACTAAAAAGAGTGCACATGGAACATAACACTAAGCTCAGGCAGCTTTAAGTACACTAAATTTCTGGTTCATGTTATGTAAACGCATATAACCAGCCTCAGAGCAGGGTTTCCGGAAATTGAAAAGCCGACACCACGAACGTAAACATGCAGTAACACAACTGGGCTCCATAAAACCCAAGCGGGCTACAGAGCCCAACAAGGCACCCTGCCCCAAAGGCAAAACATCACTTAGCTGACGAAAGAAGTCTGGAACCAGAGCCAAAGCGAGAGCGACTTGAAATGAACCAGGGTACATCAGAATACAACTGACGGTGGGGCGAGCTGGCTGACCCGGTACGCCTCCCTCCTCTGCCCAAATGAAGGAGGTGAGGCAAAGAAGCGGACACCAGTTTCACAAAATTTTGGTGGTTTGTTTTCATTGTTGGGGAAGTTTTTTTTTTTTAGCATTTTGGGGTGGTGATCTCATTTTTAAACCATGCACATGAGTCTAAGTCTGCTGACGGTGTGGGCTACTCTGTTGTTTTTCCTGACCGTACTTATATGTGTCACTTCCCTTCGGAGGCTAGCGTCTTTACAGCCGAACTTTATGCTATTCTCTGTGATCTCCGTCTCTTGCTTTCTCATTATCATTCCTCCTTTGTGGTTGTAGTTGACTCTCGTAGTGCCCTCATGGCTCTAGGGTCCTTTAATCTTGTCCATCCGGTGGTCATCGAGATTCAACATTGGCTGTTTCTTATTTCTAGTAAACTTAAATCAGTAGAGTTTTGCTGGGTTCCCAGCCATATTGGTGTTTCTTTCAATGAGCGTGCGGATGCTGCCGCTAAGGAAGCTATCCGTTCTTGTCCCATCTCCTGTAAAGGTATTCCTTATTCTGACTTTTATCCTGTTATTCATTCCTCCATCCTTGCCCGTTGACAGAGTTGTTGGTCCTCTGTAGTTAGTAACAAGCTGCGTACTCTCAAATGTAGTGTGTCCCCGTGGCCTTCCTACCACCGTAACCGGCGGTGGGAAACTGCTTTGGCATGGCTGCGGGTTGGTCATACTCGCCTAACCCACGGTCACTTAATGGAGCGCCGCCCTGCTCCTTATTGTCTAAATTGCGTTGTCCCTCTTACAGTTGTGCATATCCTTGTTGAATGTCCTGACTTCCAGGACGAGCGTGTGTCTTGCTTTCCGACCGTTCCTCGCGGTCACTTGTCCCTCGATAGAATTCTAGGTGAATCGGATACTTTTGATATCGTTCGCCTTATGCGTTTTTGTTCTCGTATTGGCATTCTTAGTGATATTTAGCGCCCTCTGATTATTATGCACTTTGATGGTGCTACATAGCATTCCCGGTTTGGTGCCTTCTTTTGATAATTACTTTACCTTAAACCATGCACTGTTTTGGTTCGCCTCTGTTCCTGGGTGCCTCCCTCTGTTGGTGGCAAGTATGTTTATCTTTAAATACAGAGTGATCACAGGGGCCTCTCTGAGGGGGCCCAGGTTCTGGCTCGTGGTCCCCGGTAGACTAATAGAACTCTATGACTGATGGCACTGGTCGGTGTATTATAGCTTCAGGAAGCCGACGGAGCTCCTCCCAGAAAGCGTATTAATATGAAGGTACTTAAGTATTCTAGTGTTTTTTAAACATGATTTTTGTTTTCAGATACGCGGTGAAGCCCGGTTAGGTGGCCCAGCTGACTTTGAGATTAAGGTGTTATATGAGGATGGAGATACATGTGATTCCTACATTCATATATATCACATACATGATAACCAACACTCTGTGAGTGGAGCAAGTCTGGCATTAACGGAGCTTCACAGACCGTGGGAAGTGACAGCAAACACCACAATGGACTTTTCTGGTTGGGAACAATTATTTAATATTGAATTAAGTTTCGAATCTCCAATGTTAGCAGCTCCACTCCAATTACATGGGACTTATAATATGTCGGAGGATCATTTGGGCTTTGAAATTCAGGGGGGAATGGAAGAAAAAGTATTGGTTTTATTTTTAGGCAAGAGAGAGGAATCTCCGCATTTACAGAAACTTTATGGTCTTGCTAGTTTTGACACTCCATGGACTGCACCGACAATTATGAATGTAACATTGGACCAAGCTACGGATAGTTTTGGCATTCTTATTGACTTCCAGTCAACTTGGGAATGGTTAGCAGAATTTAGTACAAACTTTTCATCAGCAGAAGACACACAAGCTCACTTATACCTTACACACAGTGCACTTCAGATTACGCTGGACCTCACTCAAAATTTTTCATTGAGTGGCTTCAGACAACAAGTGGAAGGTTCTGTGAACACATTAACAATAACATCTGTTATAGATGCTGATTTGGATGAAAATTTAGTCCCTTTAGATATTAATGGGCGTCTCTCTCTCCTTAACTTGATGGATCATAATCTTGATTTAACATTTTCTCACACAAGAAAACCCAAACCACAAATAACACAAATATCACTAGCTTGGGATGACCAGATTTTCTCGGTGGATCACACTCTTGATATGGAACACTACCTTCAGTGGTCAAGCTTATTGCAAATAATTCAACCAGGTAACGGAGATATTATTGAAAGTAAAATCTCTCTACATACAGAAAGTGATATAGCTTTTGTGAACTCAAGCTTCCAATTACGTTCCCCTTGGAGTGAAGACTTTAAAGCCCAATTTGTAGTACAAGGAAATAGTACTGTGATGGACTACACGTTTGATATATCATATGGAAATGCTTCAGTATTGACATTGATGGTTGTATCCACGGAGGATGTTAATTGGTACCAGTCTGATCTTGTGCTTGGGGTGACTTCTTCTTATTTTAATGACGCCGAGATAAAATGGAAACATAATTTAGATACAGGACATTTAGTGAGTGTTGAAGTGAGCTATGGGTCTGACTTTAATGTGCAAGGTACAAGTCACTTGATATTCAGTCAACAATGGCTTGAGCAAGAATTTATTTCATATGATTTCCTTTCTAGTTTAAATATCACTGACCTGGATGTGAATTTTAAGGTCCTATTCAAAATAGATTCTCAGTATAATGGGAAATTTGAAGGGATGTGGAGCGACTATTGTGTGTCCGTTGCATCAGCTGTTAACGACGGCATCATCTTCAGTGCAAAAATAAATGATTCTGAAGCAGTATTTCAATCTGAAATACAGTATGAGAAAGGAAATGGAGACTTACCAAACTTGCAAATAAATTTTGCAAAAAATGGACATGATATATATTTATTCAAGATAGTTTCTGATGCTGTTTATCCAAAAGTAGATAACATTTTCTCTTTGGAAATATTTAGTGGACACAATGACACCTCACAGACTGCTCAGCTCAGAGTAACGGCTGATATGACTGACATAGCCAGATATGCTCTTAAAGGAAAAGTCGAAGTAAAATCAGACATAGATATTTTTGAAGGTTTTGGGGGTAGCGTGGAGGTTAATGCTAGATTCAACAGTATGTTGTCATGGAATGGTCATGTGAGTGGCCTGTTGGACAGTAGCTACTGGCACTATAGAGGAGATATGAATGGTTCCCTAGAACTGAGTCAGGAATTCAGTATGGAATATGGAATTCTATATGAAGCAACACATGAAAATAAAACTTTTGATAGAAAAGAGATGAGTCTTGCAATGAATGTGACTGATGAGATTTTGCAAATGAAATTTACAGTCTCTCCAGATCACGTCACTCCTCATTGGTCTTTCCATGTTTATTACAATAAGAGTTTGGGAGACCTTAGAGTACTTGTTTGGCCTGGTGATCCCCAAAAGTATGAAATATCATGTCGGCTGTCAAGTAAGACATTTACTATAAGTGCTCATAGTACTCATGAAGATGGGTCAAAAGTACAGTATCTTAAAGGAAATATTAACTGGATCATAAGACAAGTAAAGCACTTGATTTCGATTAATATGGACTCGGACATAAATTACATTTCCAAAATTACTGGACAGTTGATAATTCAACACAAGCGTGATTTGGCTGTGACCGCAAAATTAACAGTTAACCAGCAAAATTTTGCTGGAACCATGAGATATACTTCACATGCACTCAACTCCCCGAACAGATTAAATATCAAAATAGAGAATGACATTATAATGAATTTTAAAACGGATATTGATTTTGATTTTTCAGTGAAGCCAGAAGGTTTTACAATTGACTTGTCAGTTGATATGAATGAAGATGAGGGCTGGCTGGAAGGTAACTTAAAACTTGGCGTTCCAGAATCCCACCTTCACCTCAAAATGCCCATTACTGACTGGGAAACCTTTAACTTGACTGTTAATGTTCAAACAGATGACGTGTATGGTTTTACAATACTTCTACAAGTGCCTCAGATGTGCTTCAATGTCACAAGTGCTGTGGATAAATCATACTTATCAGCGGTACTGAGCATAAATATGCAATTAAATTATATCGAAGAGGCAATATTTGACTTTTGTTGTAAATTCAGTGTTGATAAGAACAAATATCATGCCTATTGCAACTTAACTGTTCAAGACCTTGGCGTGATCTTTAAGTTTAACTGTACAGGTCATTTGAAATGGGATGAACTTGAAGTTAAGCTTGAAAGTGAGCTGTACCCTCAAGTTTTAGTTGACGTAGGACTTTTAGCAGAAAAGAAAGACCACATAAACGTGAGGCTACATGTGTACGAACCTTCGTCTAATACAACTTACCTCCTCTATAGGAACTTCTTCTCTCCAAATAAAACTGAACTTTTCTTTGGGTTGGAAAAGGATAATTTCGTCTCACTCGTAGCTGACTATAACATTCAGAGAGAAAACACAACGATAGATGTTACTTTCTCATTTTCATATTATGGATTTGTTTTGAATCTGGGATTAGGAATCAATGCACGTATTATGCCTGATTCTGGAAATGTGGAAGTGCACTTCACATCTGACTCAGAGATTGTTCGTTCTACTTTCTCAGTTGCTTATATAAACAAGGATGAAATGAAAGAAGGAACTTTCAATTTGACAACTACATATGGAGATGTTAGGGGTGAACTTAAATTAATAATGAATGAAAAATTATTTTCATTTGTATCTAATATAAGATCAGACCTTCACTCTTTCCAAAAATACCACTTTGAATTTATTCATAAAACAGAAGGACCAATTCAAAATATTAAGATTCTGAGTGCCCAAGATGACATTGAGTTTCAGATTAATGGCTTAGTAAACATGACGAATGATGAAATAGAGGTAAAGCTAACCTTATCAACTTCATTCGAAAAATACGAGATATTTGATTTAGAGTTCAGTCAGCCTGTACATGAAAGTTCTTACAAAGCAAAGTTTACAATTAAATCATTTGGGAAGGAGTATGCCATTGACACACGACACAGTCATCATGAATCTTGGGAAAGTCAAATGACTGAAATCACTCTCACTTTCCCTCTGCTTGAACACGATAAGTTATCGTTAGTTGTGATGTACGACGCTCTAGCTGGTGAGGGATCAGCTGTTCTTAGTACCCCTCAGGGTCAACTAGGGTTAGAGGGAACGTGGCAGTATTTAGAGAGCAATGTTGCTCTATCACTGACGTCTCATTTGACATATTTCGACTTAGGGAAGTACACTTTGACACTTGATATTTCCCCGGAGGTGTCCCAGGGAGGGGAGCTCTGCCTCTCACACCGCCACGCCGCTCTCGATTTTGACACTAAAATTAAATTTAGTGAATATTTTAGAAATGGGAACATTAGTTTTAACTTTAACTCAGAACCTAAATTTCGTAATATAACTTATGGTATCGGGTATGAATTTCAGAACTCGCTCAAGATAGACGGGCAATTTGATGACAGGAAAGTGACGGCAAAGCTGTCACTTGACGGACATCATAACCCTGCGTTGTTAGGAAGTTTTGAAATTGAGACAAATTTCAAAGGTTATGAATCCATTGACGGCTCATGGAACATAGAATTAAGAGATGAGGTATACTCAGCTCAAGTGAATATTGACATAGCGCAACAAGGGAGTGTGGCAGTGAACGGTGCCATCGACACCCAGCCAGAAGGCGCTTCAGTGCCCTGGGACAGTGTAAAGCTCACCATACACTTTGAATCCCCCTTCACACTAACCCACCATCTACAGGCAGAGTATGACTTGAGCACATTAAGTGTGGCAACATACTACCAGTATGGCCTAGATACATTCCAAATTCAGTGGAGTTCAGATTTCAGAAGTAAGATGGCAACAGTATTATTCAGCGGCAATATTCCCGTACAAGGAATTTCATCGTTCAGTGTTAATTTCAAATATGATTTCACAAAGTCCTACACTTCCAGTTTCACAATAAAAATTGAGGAGACAACTCTTCAGTCAAGCTTTGAATTTTCTCCTAACTGGAAAGTTGGGTCCATAATGGCGTCACTGACCTCGCCCTTTGTTAAGCCCGTGATGATGCTAGTAAAGTGGTCGTGTGTAGGGAGCCCCATCAGCCTGCGGGCCACATATGACGTGGGGAAGCACTCAGGGGAGCTCAAGACAACGCTGGAGTATGGGAGAAACTCTGCTCACGGTGTTTTCCAAGTAACAACATCGTTTGAAGAGGCATCCAAATTTAATATTGAATTTTTATATGATATATCAGATAATGGAAAGTGGGAGGCTGCCATTGTTGCAAATATAAATCGACACACGTTGAACTTAAAAACTAGTCTGATAATCAATGAACCCAAATTTATTGTAAAATTTTCTGGATTTATGGAGTTATTTGGAATAAATGCTTCTGTTGAGATAGACGTTGGGATATACGAAGGCATTTATAAGGGGAGCGTATCAGGCAAGATTCTTGGGTATGAAAAATTCCGTATCAGCTTTTTATTAGATTTATATCAATTTTATTGCAATATTAAATACAAGATGAAAGAAGTTTTCACTGTAAATGCTAACTATTACCAAACTAACATACAGCTCGATGTGGATGACTATTGGCATTTCAACTTGTCGACGCATCACAAAACAATTAAAAATGGGCATCATTTTGATGTTTCATTTAATGGATTTGACTTGGAGTCAGTGATGCTTCAAGCTAACTACACACGCAAACGTAATCATCAGCTTTTCTTATCATTAAGCAGTCCAGCATTGCCACCAATAAGTATACATGTCACTTATTCAAGTTTTAAAGATAATCAAGTTGATGCAAAAGTTACAGTTGGAAAGGAGATCTACCATTTAGTTGGGAGAGCAGAGGTGGAACGAAAACAGTCTAGTTTTGAAATCAAATTTGACTCCCCAGAAGACCCCAACAATCCCTTTATTTTTAAAGCCATGTATGATTTTAAAAAATTCCTTCGAGGTAAGATGAATTCAGCAATGGATTTAGCCTCCGTCACTTTGGAGTGGGGAAAGCAGCTACATGTTAATGTGTCAGGGATGAGGAATGACAGCCAAGTTAAGATGAACCTCACAGTAATGACGCCATTCACAGTCCTTCCTAAGCTTCTCCTAGGTTTTGATAGTGAATTTTCATTTAAGAAAGCTTATGTCGAACTAAAATGTTCAGGTTTCATTGAATTGTCTCAACGTATCACTGCTTCTGGATTTTTCAAGCTCGAGGAAGAGGAAGTGGATCTGACGTGGGCATTAACGATGCCTTATATAGAGGTTGAGAATCTCACTTTATCTCTCCAGCTGAAGCCAGGTCGCATGGAAGCAAACTTATTATTGAATAATGACGCATGGAAGGCGATAATAGATTATGAATTATTTAAAACCTATTCAATTGTTATTTCGGTTGAAACACCAGTTACTAACTTTGAGAAGCTGTCACTAACCACGCGTGCAGAGACGGAGAACGATCAGTTCATGGTTCAGATAGAGCTAAAATGGCCGAAGGCTCAAACTCTGTTAATTCGTGCAGAAGTTGAGACGCTGAACATAAGGATTACCTTTTTAACTCCATGGGAACAACTTCGAAGTGGCTTCTTCAGTGCATCGTTAGAAACTGACGATGAAAATCAAAACTATTCAAGTGTCCTCAAGTGGGATAAGAGAAACATTAAGATGTTGTTAACAGTGTCACCGGGCGAACTGCAGTTTGTTAGCCAATATTATGTGGATAATACTGTAATTGGTCTTGTTAGATTTGAAAGTGCCTTAGAAAGCAGAGAATTTAAATCATCATTACAAATCCAGACTCCCTATGCCTTCATAAGATCATTAGAGACAACATTACATCTTCAAAATCAAGGCTTTTTAGCTAAGATGGTGATCAACGACGTGACAAGCCATGTAGAAGGTTTGTATTCCAGAAAAGAATGTAAATTTACAGCAATTTTGCCAATTTTAGGAAATTTCAAATGGACACTTGACGCTAAAAATTATTGGACAAAAATAGATACAAGAGTTCGTTTAAGTGTTGGTGAAAGATCTGAGCCATTTAGTGCGGCCTTCAGCTACGAGGTGACGGGGCCGGCACTCCACGGGGTGCTGGAGGTCGGGTCCGGGAGACAATGGTTATCTGTTGATGTAAAGTACGACGACGATACGTGGAGTTTGATCCTCACTGTTATGGACACCCTGTTGGAGATAAGTGTTACGAATCCTAGTGATGGGGCATCAAATTTGAATTTAACACTTGAATCACCAAATTTGAATTTAAAGTTATTGAAGTTGAATGTGACAGCCAAGTATGAGGGACATTTGGAGTTCATTGATGGCTCGTTGTCAATATCAGTTAAGACAGCAAACAAAAAACTTTTTAAATATAACATAAACTTTGGAGCTAGTATTATTGATGATCAATTACTTGTGAACTTTGAATTTCAAGGTGATCGAATTACTGAACCTTATAAAATCACTGGTGTACTCCCTATAGCCAATATATTTTTTGAAGAAGTAAATATAGAGTTTAATATAAACCAGGGAGAAGAGGAGCTGTATAAATTACGTTATGAAACAGTATTTCCAGATTCAGTGTCATCTAGGAGACTCTTGGAGGTCGAGTCTTCGGGGAGAGTCTCCAGACTCCAAGTCGATTTAAGTGACAGTTCTTTGGGAGTTTCCCTCTCGTACCCGGACTCGTCAACACAACACACATTACTCTTAAACGTAAATGACGACGTTAGTTTTGAGAACTTCATGCTTCATGGTGAATTACATTCACCGTACCTGATAGATGGCCCATTAAAAATGCATTTACATTTTGTCGTTCAAGACCAATTCCATGGAATACTTAACTGCATTCTTTCTCATGGCACTGCAAATATCACTGTCAGCGGAGAGTTCCGATATAACAGAAAACAGCATGAGATTACCACTAAATTCCTGGTAACCTCTGGAGTTACTTTCATATATTCTATAGAAGCAAAACTTCAGTGGAATAGGGATATCACTGCGTTTGTCATTCTAAATATTTTGGGTAATGAACACAGTTTCAAACTGCATTTAGATATGAATGACTACAGTTTAGAGATGATTAGTAAATCTACTTGGCTGCCAGTAGAGGAAATCATCTTTTCAGGTAAATTAAACCATGACATTGAACTTTCAAATATAAATTACGAAGGTAAATTGATTACAGAGAACATGGAGATCATTATAGATGCAGCATTTAAAAAGGAAAATTTTAATCATATTAATTCATACATCATTGTGAAGATAAATAAAGAAGAAGTTTTTACATTGTCTGGAGTGTTTTATGCTGATAAAAATAGGTTTGATTTTGATTTCGATATGTATAGTATCATTCCAGACTTAAATTATAATGTAGAAATTCGATATAAAAATACTGAAGAGAAGATGACTATAGATGCGAAGCTTAATGGTGCTTTACTGCAGGATAAAGAATTTGTTTTGAAGATTATGAGCAATAAATGGTATAATGTTCAGAGTCTTGACATGTCCTGGTCAAGTTATTGGCTCCAGGTTGTGGTTGATATTAACAGATTGACATTTAGATCAACCATTCAATTAGATCACGAAATCTACAAACTAAGTTTAGAATATAATACAGATTTAAAAAGCATTTACCTTCAAGCTCCGTTTACATACTGTGAAAATTTTTATTTTCAAGTCCGCCTTAGAAATGATGTGACATTTATTTACCTGGAGAATGCATGGAGAGACTTGGCAATTACTTTTACATTTGAACTTGGTGAGGATGAATATTTTGGCAAAGGTGTTCAACTCTCGTTAAGAACACCATTTAAAGGCTATGAAAAATTTTCCTTTATAACACCTCACTATACAAGAGATGTGAACCACCGCTTCTCTGTGATGCTAGAATATCCCGGATGTAAAGTGGGTCTTGAGGTATTTATGGACTATAAAAATTTATTTGATAGTGACCTTGAATTTAGTCTTTATCTTCCATATGAGAAATATGAAATAATATCCTTAAGATACCGGTTCCTCCGTATAAGTAGAATTAACATAGGAGCTCGAGTTGGAAAAGTTGGCTTTATGTTTTCAGTAAGAGATAACTATCTTCTTTATAGGGCAGGATTGGAAGTTAGATTAGAGCTCAATGAGTACAGTATACAATTACTGTTGAGAGATTTTTCTGTGTCACACAAACTTAGATCCTATATAAATATTGATTTTGACGTAAAAGAATTGATAAAATGTCGCTCATTCCGTATTGAATGGCAGGTTAAATCTAATGAAATGGTTTACCTTATAGTTCAGAGCGACCAAGAGGAGCACCTCAAGGTCCACGCTGCCTGGGGGTCAGACAAAGTTTTTGCAATTACTACCCCAAAAGTGTACCCAGGCTTCCTGACTATTAATTTACAGTCTACTGAAATGCTGGATGATTTTCATTTTATGTTCAGTTTCCCAACAGTAAATAATACATGGGAAACGTATAGGATTCACTTACATGAAGAAGCACTGGAGGCAGGCCACCATGCCTTTATCTCTGTAGAGGGTTTTGAGAAGCAGTTTCAAGCTGAAGGAACATTATCATTAAATTCATTTCACTTCAATGAAAGTTTAATGCTGGAAATAAACAAGAAAAAAATTGGTACTAAAATTTTGTTGCAGAGAGAACCAGGGTTATTTACCAGCATATACACAGGTGATGTGTTCTTGGTGTTACCGTCTCAGAGCGTTCACTACAGCACAAACGCTTCTGCTGGCTTAAGAGACCTCTACATTATATCCAGTTTCACTTGGAATGAATATGATCATGACATGCCACCACTCACTTTGAAAATGAATTATAATGACAAGTCCATATTTAGAAATATGGAGTATTGCCTAAAAGCAGTTTTCAGCCACCCTGATATTAAGGACGTCATCTTCCAGGGCAACATTACTCAGTCTCCAAATTCACCGTTACGTGGGTTAGCAGAACTTGTAGACATAAATGATCACGAGAAGAACATTGTGATGATGCTGGACGTGCAGCCTCCCACACACCACACACAATACAACATATTGGTCAACATTTCACAACCTTCTTCAAAGTTAGCTCTTATCATCAATAGTCAGATCACAGAGTCAGTTTTAACAAAAGCAAATTATACATTCAAATATTGGAGCCCGATCAGAGAAACTTGGGAAGACTTGAACATCATCACTGATGTGAGCGCAACTGAGACTGGATATGAGTTTGCTGCTAACATTCTCGCTTCTCAAGGAAAGTGGGGCTACAGATACAATGGAAACATTAATTCAACGTACAATTCAGCTACATTTAATATTCAAGGAAGCCAAGTAGAGTTTGGAGAGTTTTGGAAACTTGGAACAACTGTAAACAAAAATGTACCTGAATTGGTTATCTATCTAGATATTGGGCAACAAAATCAAGAACCATATGAAGAACGGAGAGTGAGAATTGGGTTCCAAAATCCGTTAGAATTTGGAGCAATATTGGACCATCAGAGGTTTAATGAGAGGACTCGAGACTGTGCTGTTGGCTTGAAGCTAGTGGCGCCAAACATCCTCCAGTTCTTCTTGGACTTCGATCCATCACTAGACTACAATGCTGACAACTTTTGGGCTCGTTTGACATCACCTGCCTACAAAATCGTGGATGCTTGGGAGCGTGAAGTTGCTATTCTAACATCTGCCTCTCATGAAAGGCTACTGCTGGAGGTCCCCAAAGTTATTGACATGCTAGTTAATAAAGAAGCTATTCTATCAATATGGGCGAGAGAAACAAGTAACTTTGAGTACTTCACCAACGAACTCAACAGTGCAGTACGTGACATTAACGAAGATATTGAGAGATTCTGGACAGAGTCGCTGGAGCCGCTACTACAAGCCTCTCACCGCATCACTACTGCCTTGTGAGTCTTACTCTAACTCTTACCATGTTTTATGTTCAATATTGTGAAACTATCTTACGCCTTATCTGCTGAATTTAATGTTAAATTAAAGGAGTTGGAAAATATAGTTCAAATGACTTCCTTCATATATATATATATATATATATGTCGTACCTAGTAGCCAGAACGCACTTCTCAGCCTACTATGCAAGGCCCGATTTGCCTAATAAGCCAAGTTTTCATGAACTAATTGTTTTTCGTCTACCTAACCTACCTAACCTAACCTAACCTAACTTTTTCGGCTACCTAACCTAACCTAACCTATAAAGATAGGTTAGGTTAGGTTAGGTAGGGTTGGTTAGGTTCGGTCATATATCTACGTTAATTTTAACTCGAATAAAAAAAAATTGACCTCATACATAATGAAATGGGTAGGTTTATCATTTCATAAGACAAAAATTAGAGAAAATATATTAATTCAGGAAAACTTGGCTTATTAGGCAAATTGGGCCTTGCATAGTAGGCCAAAAAGTGCGTTCTGGCTACTAGGTACGACATATATATATATATATATATATATATATATATATATATATATATATATATATATATATATATATATATATATATATATATATATATATGTATGTATGTACGTAACTGAAAACTCACACCCCAGAAATGACTCGAACCCATACTGCCAGGAGCACTTTGCAACTGGTGTACAGGGCACCTAATCCACTCGACCATCATGACCGGACAAAAGCTGATGGTAGCCGAGGCAATTTGCCCATCAGCCCGCCGGCACTCTGATGGTAATCTTGGGCATAGTATTTTATCAAATCACCTCATTCTTTGGGGCACACGTGAGGAACACAAATGCCCAAGATTACCATCAGAGTGCCGGCGGGCTGATGGGCAAATTGCCTCGGCTACCATCAGCTTTTGTCCGGTCATGATGGTCGAGTGGATTAGGTGCCCTGTACACCAGTTGCAAAGTGCTCCTGGCAGTATTAGTTCGAGTCACTTCTGGAGTGTGAGTTTTCAGTTGCATGTATGCCTGGGGACCATTCAGGCATGTTCGCATGGCCTACTATGCTAGTCCCGATTTGCCTAATAAACCAAGTTTTCCAGAATTTCAATATTTTTATAATTTTTTTCTTATGAAATGATAAAGCTATTCATTTCATTATGTATGAGCAAATTTATTAAAAATTTTAGTTAAAACTAACGTAGATATATGACCGAACCTAACCAACCCTACCTAACCTAACCTAACCTATCTTAACCTAACCTAACCTAACCTATCTTAACCTAACCTAAACTAACACAAATAAGTCAATAATTTATGTTCTTAATATAATATAATAATAAAAATTAAAATAAACTAATTGGAAAGAGAAAGAGTTAACTCTTTCTCTTTCAACGGTAAATATTACACTCAAACTTTCGGTGTCGCTATGGGTTCCCCTCTCTCCCCTGTTCTTGCTAATTTCTACATGGAATACTTCAAAACTGTTCTTCTTCCTTCTATTGATACTGGTCCCTCTCTCTGGCTTCGCTATGTTGATGACATTTTTGCTTTATGGCCTCATGACCTTAATCTTTTCCAGCCTTTCCTCGCCTCTCTTAACAATCTGGCTCCTTCTATCCATTTCAAAGTTGAGTGGGAATCTAATTCCCTCCTTCCTTTTCTTGATGTTCATGTTCACAGCTCTGTGTCTGGGTTCTCATTCTCTGTCTACCGTAAACCCATGCACAGTGGCATGAACATTCACTGCTTTTCCTACCATCCTCTTCTGTTAAGAAAAGTGTCCTCGTCTCTCTCTTCCTCCGCGCTCTACGCATCAGCGACCCTCAGTTTCTTGATTCTGAAATTGCCTTTATCTACAAATCATTCTCTCGCCTTGGTTACCCTTTGCATTTCATTAACTGTGCCTACTCTCAAGCTAAACGAAATTTCTTTCATCCTAGACCTGCTTCCAACACTAGTAGCACTGTACTATGCCTTCCCTTCATATCTGAACTCAAAACTTTTACCAATACTTTTCGTCCTCTTGACATTAAACTCGCCTTTCGACAAACTTACACACTTCGTAGCAATCTAGTTCACACTGCTCCTGCTGCTTCTAATGCTGCTGGTGTCTACTCTATTTCCTGTTCGTCTTGTCCTCTTCAATACTTTGGCGAAACTGGCCGTACACTGAATGACAGACTTAAAGAACACAAGAGAAGTGTTAAGTCTGCAGACACTAACAATGCTCTCTTCTGCCATGTGAGGGATTCTAATCACCCTATTGATTGGTCTTCATCCAAAATATTCTTTCCTGCCTCTACTCTATACAGACGCCGTCTTGTAGAATCGGCTCTTATACACAATGTACCCAACATGAACTTGAGTCCTGGCTTTGTTGCTGTGGACTCTTCCCTTTCACAGTATATACTCAAATGCTCTAATCTTTCTAACAAACGTGACCTAACATAAGCTTACCCTTCAATTTATCTTTCTCTTTCATTTTCTTTCTCTCTTCTCTCTTTTTTCTGTTCATTGTTTTCTCTTACGTTCCCTTACTATCCTCTTCTTATTCCTATTACTATCTATTCTCATTCGGTGGTTATAATAGGAGCTGCCTCGTATGGGCCAATAGGCCCTCCGCAGTTCTTATTCCTACTACTATCTCCTCTACTTCATCTTACTTGGCTCCTCACCTCGTGCCTATTTATTGCCTGCATCTACTTCCTCATCACAATCGACTTGAGAATGGTCCAGGACTGTGAAGTGTCCGTTCGGTCCGAAAGTGAAGGGACGTCGTCGTCCCTTCACTGTATATGTACCTTCACTATATATGTATATATGTACACCTGTAGTATATATGCAGGTGTACATATATACTACATTTTACTGCAGTAAAGGGTTCTCCGTAGGCTTCGGGCTGGTTTTAATGAGGAGGTTTGTAGTCTTCTTTGCTTTATAGAATACGATCAGGTCTATGTTTTGGTTAGGAGTTATGCTTTTTACTCCTTTACGGATCATTTCTTTCATTATTCTTTTTTCTTTTGTATGTTCACTGTGCATGGTTGATTTGTAAAATAATGTTTAATATATATATATATATATATATATATATATATATATATATATATATATATATATATATATATATATATATATATATATATATATATATATATATATATATATATATATATATTACTGTAGTCAATTTTAAGAAATGGTCTCGTGGACTTTCAGATACAGCCAGTACTACAGAACACTGGTGAGTTGGGGTTTTCATCTGAGCGTCGAGATGACTCGCGCAGCCACAATACTCCATAAGATCTGGGAAGATGTACACGGCCAGATATCTCCAATGTTCACTGATGCGGCTTCATGGGTTATGGATGAGATGCATGAGTTGTGGGAGAAGGTGAAGAGCCATTTCATAAATGTGTAAGTACACCGGTTCAAAACTATGTGCGGAAGTTTTTAGCCGTGAGGTAAAACGCAGCACCTTTACTGCACCACAGAGATAATCCTGTGTGCCACAATTCACCCATTGTAGATTTGTATGGAAATGGCTTTTCTAAAACTTTGTGATCTACATATATATTCTCTTCCTTTAACAAAAATAAGAATATTTTATTTACGACAAATATTACAGAAGGTTTGAAGTACAAGTTTGTCGTATTAGGGATTTATATCTTTTGTTATAAACTGCTAATCACGTGCACACTTTCTGGCAAACTAATGATCATTGTGTGTTTGGTGATCACATGATAGAGTAATGCCAGGAGTAATATGTTAGAGTAATAACCAGGAGAAATAAACAGATACACATATCAGCATAAACCAGTAAAGATATTAAGCAAATGATACACAGTTTCATAGACTGATATTTAATGTTAAAGGGTGTAGTCTTCTTTATTTTATATTATACTAGGGAGGGCACCTGGCACTGCCTGGGTCTGTCTGTATATATATTCTCCTTCCCCTTCTTTCAAAAAATATAATATTAAGAACGACAGAAACTAAACCATTTAGACCTGTATGGGGTCTAAAACATTATATTGTTATGGCAAACTACTCCACATTCATCACACGCCATATTTCACTCTGGACTTTATGAACGGCTCATCAAAATGGCCTATGGGCATTAATAAGTGATAATATTTCTTAAATTCCTTCCATAAATCTCACATATATGCAAGTGTGGGTTTTTATCCTATATTTATGTGCAGCTCGCAAACTGTTGAATTATGGGTCCAAGTCTCCAGAGAGTTCTCTGGAGACTTGGACCCATAATTCAGACTTCATAGTGAGCCGGTATAGGAGAGGCAATGAGGCTGGCCTGAGTGTGACAGTTCCCTATCCACACTTGTATCATCATTACAAGTTGAGTAAGAGTAACCCAAAGCTGTGGGGGAATTACCATGATTGTCAAAATGAGGAAAATTACTTAGGATTTGAAATTCAGTACTGTAAATGCTTCATTAAAATGCAAAAATAAAACTTGTAAAGTCCTTAGCTAGGGTTGTATATCCTACTCCTCTTTTCCTAGGAAGGAAAGGGGTCTGTAGGAAGCAGGTTGGTTCCTTAACGGTGAATACAGGTGTTGATTGGAGACTCACAATCAACGGGAAGGCATTTCAACACATCACCTTGTATTTTATACAGGGATAAGATAAAAAAAACACAGTTCTACTACTGATCACTGGTTCTTGTTCTGGATCATAGGTCTGAACAATATACACAGTATAGCCAAGCTCTAAAATCATTGCAGCAGCCAATAATCAAATCATACTAATAAACCCAACAAGGTAGTTGTTGTAACTATATATATATATATATATTGGCACCAGAAGTGGCACCCTCACTGGTATATATATATATATATATATATATATATATATATATATATATATATATATATATATATATATATATATATATATATATATATATATATATATATATATATATATATGTCGTACCTAGTAGCCAGAACGCACTTATCAGCCTACTATGCAAGGCCCGATTTGCCTAATAAGCCAAGTTTTCATGAATTAATGGTTTTTCGACTACCTAACCTAACCTAACCTAACTTTTTCGGCTACCTAACCAAACCTAACCTATAAAGATAGGTTAGGTTAGGTTAGGTTCGGTCATATATCTACGTTAATTTTAACTCCAATAAAAAAAAATTGACCTCATACATAATGAAATGGGTAGCTTTATCATTTCATAAGAAAAAAATTAGAAAAAATATATTAATTCAGGAAAAATTGGCTTATTAGGCAAATCGGGCCTTGAATAGTAGGCCAAAAAGTGAGTTCTGGCTACTAGGTATGACATATATATATATATATATATATATATATATATATATATATATATATATATGTGTGTGTGTGTGTGTGTGTGTGTGTGTGTGTGTGTGTGTGTGTGTGTGTGTGTGTGTGTGTGTGTGTGTGTGTGTGTGTGTGTGTGTGTGTGTGCGTATGTATGTATGTATGCATGTGTCTAAAGTATATGTGGAAGCTTATTAGAATTACATTTCTCCTTTTGTAAATGCATGTTAATGTAAAGAACACATCGTAAAGAACACATCGACCACTTTATGTAGGTCAGACGTAACTCTGTGTATATATGTATTTATGTCTGTAGGTTAGATTGGCCTTTTAAAAGCACTACAATCACCTGTGGCTGATTGTTCAATAAATCCCTGAACTATATGTTTAACAGATCTCTGATCCTGTCCATGGAGGACAGAAGACAATGTATATATGTCGGTTAGCATTGTAAATGTGTGGCCACGTCTGTGATAAAAAATAAAAATAACAAAAAGTCTCATCGGTTGGTCATCCATGACCAACGATCAAGCAGGTCACAGCTTACAAGCTGCAACAGAGGACACATTGATACAAATAACCAAAATTAAGGCCGAGGGAACCCAACCAGGACAAACCGACATCCTTCAAAATCTGGAAATGCAAATCAGTCTCCTCCAGATGCACCAGGCGGCCTCTGAAGACGACCTAAAGCAACAACAACTTCACGACTCTCTGATAATTAGCTCTGCTGATCTACCAGATGAACAACAAGGTGAGATCTGCTGTAATGTAGCCAGTGAACTAATTATGTCAAAGATCAAAGTCAATGTTGATATCAAATCAGCTGTCAGGATAGATAAAAACAGTCCCCGCAGCACTAAGAGAATGCTTATCAAACTTGCAAATCCGACTGCTAAATATGACCTCATGCAATCAGCAGCTAAGCGAAAAACTAACCATTAAATAAATGAGTGCCTCACCAAACAGCGCGGATCCCTTCTCTACAGACTACGTCAAATTCGCAAACAAAAGCCAGGTGTTATCAATCAGTGCTACACTAGGAATGGAACGATCATTGTAAAGAAGGAAAGTGCAGGAAAAGATATGAAATAAAGTGTGACCAACAACTGCTGGCCTTCTTTCACGACTGTGGCGTATCTGAAAACCAGAATCCTTCCAATGCCAATACTGAAAGTAACTCACACGCGACTGAGCCTAGCCTAACCTTGTTCAAGGTGCTGTCTTCTGCTCTGCCGGTCTAATAATGCTCTCTCATCCAAAACAAAAAGTTTCTAACTAATGAGTGTAGTCTCCTTGTACTCATGTAAGTATCTACTTCAGTATCATAGTAAAATCTTACTTATGTATAATCTTATCCTGTCATTTTTAAATTGAATTGTAATTTGATTTATATTAGACATTTATTGGAATTAATCAACTGAGTTAATTTTTTATTTTCTTAAGTTCATATTAATTTTAAGATCATAATTAAGAAATTTTATAGTTATTAATTAATTAAGCAATTTCATAGTTTTTCTGTTATATTTACTTTTAACTTTTTTCATTCAGTGTACCTGAGTGTATCTCTTAAGAAATCTACCTCATTTTTGTTTAAGTATAACTTTAGTAATTAACTATATTGTAATTATATTACTAAAGTAAGCTATTGCTTTTTAATTATCAATTGTTATTTGCTATTACTGTTTCATTTCAGTGTTCTTCATTTTATATTATTCGTTTCTATTATATATATATATTTTTTTTATCTGTTTACCATAATTATTTTATATTTTTAGCTGATTTAGTAATTTACTGCTTTGTACTTGCTATCCTTATTACCTTGACTCCATGGCATCCACATGCACGCTGATATTGATCCTGAACAATATGTACAGCAGTATCTCAGATATACAATAACCAACACACTGATCATCGCCACTGTAGGTACTACACAGCTCACTACGCAAAAAACAAACTCCGAAATAACACTTGCTTATCAGTCTTCAACCAAAATGTCAGATAACTTAGTAAACATTTTGATGATATAAATGCATTACTCTCAGCGCTAAGGTACTGAACTATCGTTCATTGTTCTAACAGAAACCTGACTAAGTAAAGATCATACCCAACTATTCAACTTAGCTGGTTATAGAGCCATTCACAACTGTAGGCCTAACACAAAAGGTGGTGGCACAGCTATATACTACCAAGATATCTTCACCTGCAATAGTGTCATTAGTGATAGAGATGACTACTGTGAATATACTTTTGTTCAATTTTTAATTAAATCCCTGAAATCTTTCTTGACTATTGGAGCCATCTATAGATTTCCCAATACTAACATAGCTGCATTCACAGATAACTTGAGGAATCTTATCATCAACAACAACCTCAACAAAACAAAAATAACATAGTTCTGGGGGGGGGGGGTGACTTCAATATTGACCTAGGGCACCAAAATAGCCCTCAAGTTGACTATTTCCTTAACAGCTTGAATTCCTGTATGCTCATCCCTGCAATCACCAAGCCCCCCCCCCCCCCCCCCCCCCCCCCCGATTCACTCACACTTCCGCTACTACCCAGGATCACTTATGGACCAACATAACAGCTCCCCTTATATCAGGTATAATCACTGACAGAACAACCTACCTTCCTCGTAGTGAACATGGCCATAACACCACCAGTTAACAAGAAAATTACCTTCAAGTTACACAGTGAAGCAGCAATAAACAATCTCACAAATGCCCTCCACAATATAAACTGGGAATCTGAATTTATCAATACACAGGATATTAATTCCTTAACTAGCCTCTTCCTTTCCAAAATTCTAAGCCTTTACAATACTTATTGTCCTCTCCTCACCAAGCAAGTAACTGGCAACAGGTTAAATAATCCCTGACTCACTAATGGCATACACAAAGCCATAGACAAGAAACATGAATATGAAAAAAACTTAGGATTGGCCTAGTTGCAAAGGAAGTAGTTAAGTGGTACTCGTCAGTGTTTACCAGTATAATAAGAAGAGCAAAGCGTTCCTATTACGAGAATAGATTCAAAGAAGCAAAGGGCAACATGAAAAGCACATGGAGAGCCATCTCTAACATCCTAGGAGCTAAACAA